TTAGTACCACTCTTCATGACTGTGTGTACCTCTGTTTGGATATATATAGTACCACTTTTCTCACTGTTGGTACCTTATTTGCTGGGAATTGTGAACTTGTTTTTTTTTTTTAATCCAATAATTGTTAGATACATGGAAGGGGCACAAAGTGATATATTAGGGAGTTGTACATACAAGGATGAAATATATGTGTTCTCTATGAACCTTGAATCAACTCTTGATGAAGTGTACTCTCTCATTGGTAAGAGGTGGCCGATTGTCATTCATGCTCCTGATGTACGACCTCAGCCCGGACGCAGGAAGGAAAAAAGAATTCCTTCACAAGTTGATGTTGCAGTTAGGCGGTGTAAGCGTTGTGGTCGTCGTGGACACAATCAACGTACGTGAAAAGAACGTATCTAGATCACTCATGTATTTTGTTCTTTGGGCATGTGTATATTTTTTTTTGTGCCCAAGTGTATTTTGTTTTTGCCTAGGTGTATTTTGCATTTGGTCAATTGTACTTTGTTTTTTGCCGGATGATGTCTTTTGATCAATTAGTACCAGTTATTTCTGAATTAGTACCATTTATTATTCTATTCGGTACCAGTTATTGATCAATTAATACCTGCCTTGTAGAAAGAACGAAAAAAAGGATTACTTCAAATTCGGTCATTTTCAAAATCAGTACATGTCATAGAGTAAACCAGTACCTGTTTTGTGTCGTTATAGTACCGGATATCGGGTCTGCAGTACAACTTATAAAAATTTGGTTAATTATTACTAAGGGGCAAAAATGAGTGCTGCCCAGGTGTTAGCGGCGCTAAGGCTAGGATGTTAGCGCCACTAGCTTTTCTTAGCGATGAGCAGAGGCTGGGAGGCTTTCTAGGTTAGCGCCGCTATGGTTTGAACGAGAACATTTTCAATTTCAGGTACTGCGTATAAGAATAACAGGTACTAATTCAAGAAAAACAGGTAGCAAAAGTGTATTAAGTATTGTTTTCCCATTAATGCGTTGAGTTCGTGACCAATTTACGATTAAACTTAATTAAACAAATTTTCAATGTCATATAAACTAATTTGAGAGTGATTATGGGTCGTATGAACATAATTTTTGACCGATATTCGTTGTTTCTATGTGTTCACTACAACTGGTACAAAAGACCAGAAATGTGGTACTAATCTACCAGAAAGTGGTACTGGCTAACTCTATGACTGGTACCATTTTTTTAAAATGTTGACCACAGTTGAAATAATCAATTATCCATGACAAAAGTAGGTACTAATCGACTAAAAACAGGTACTACATATAGGAAAAGGTGGTACTATTTTTTCTAAATCAGGTACTATATTAAGAATCATGATATTTTTAATCCTTCAGGTCTACCATGTCACGTGGATCGTTAACACGTGATTTGGATGAAAAATAGTGGAAGTTAAATTATATAGGTAGAAATTGGAGCAGTCATGTATGATGATTCTATGAGATGAAGTGTTTCATTCCATAAAATGAAGTGTAGTAGTGGTGTTTTCTCATTAGTGTGTAGAGTTCATGACCATTTTATGATTAAACTCAACAAAAAACATTTTAAATCTCATATAAACTAATGTGAGAGTGATCATGGGTCGTATGTACATAATTTTCGACCGATATTCGGTGTTTCTATGTGTTCACTACAAATGGTACAAAAGACCAGAAATACGGTACTAATCTACCAGAAAGTGGTACTGACTAACTCAATGACTGGTACCACTTTTTTAAAATGTTGACCACAGTTGAAATAATCAATTATCCATGACAAAAATAGGTACTAATCGACTAAAAACAGGTACTACATACAGGAAAAGGTGGTACTATTTTTTCTAAATCAGGTACCACATTTTCCTGTATATAGTACCTGTTTTTAGTCGATTAG